TGGGTTTCACCTTTTTTCTGATTCTCCTCTTCATCCCACTGAGGAGGGGCAGGGGAGGAGTGAGCGAGCAGCTGTGTGGTGCTTAGTTGCTGTCTGGGGTTAAACCATGACAGCAGTAAAGTCCAGTCACTGCTATAACAATTATTAATCTATAAACACAACAGACCTAGGTCATATTGATGCTGCAAAATCACTAAAATCCACCATACCATCCCAAGGGCTGTTTCCCAAGGGCTTTCACTGTGCCACCCAATACCAGGTACAACTGAGAACTTTATCATATCATCTGGGAGCTTTCTGCATAGTCCCAGGGCACACACACATACAGTCATCAATTTATGCACCTACAACATAGGCTATATTAGAGTTTGTTACCAATGAGAGCCCACTACAAGCAGTTTTCTGTGACGGTAATTTCCACCCATCACTATATGTAAAAATCCTGGTTGAAGACAAGACAAAACTGATAAGTACAGTGATAAATAATAGCTCCCTTTGCTGTTCATGCTTACACCCTTGTAATTCCCCAGTTTACCTGGGATGTGCTTTGCCCAGCCAATGATCACCACCAGTTCCCTGTCTGCCAGGTCACAGAGGGTTGTCAGGGCTTTGATGTCACTCTCTGGCATGGTTGGATCAGGCATGGCATAAATCTTCTCTGGCTCAGCCACCAGCAAGTGGGAGACAATCTTAGTCACTGCAGATTTCAAAGAAGAAGTTGTTGTTGTATCTCTCATGATGTAAGGTTCCATAACAGCCCTTTCTAGAAGGACCTTCCTGGGACAACATATGACTATAGAGCCCATAGGACCTCAGAAATGGTTTTAGTCACAACAGAAGACTACACACTGAAGCTACACAAGCTGTAGCGATCTGCTTATGCCAGACCAGCTCTGTACAGAGATGACAAAAGCAGGAAGCTACTGTAAGGTTGTCTCAGGTAGGTCCAACAAGGGGAGGAGGAGGCACGAATAATCACTTGGTGGGATGTGGAAAAGTTTAGAGAATGGTGGGTAGTATGGAAAAGAGAAATCAGCATGGGACCAGTTTTGTTAACATAGGTTGGATACAGGAAACGGTTGGAGTATCACTAAATGGATTTACATAATCTCCTAGGAAAGGTCTGCTATTTAACCCTAGGTACAATGAATACAGCACCTGGGCTGTACCTTAGGTGTACCTAATCCACCTCTGCATATGAGGTAGATCATAAGAAAAAAATCCTAGTGCTGGTGACTGATATGGGAATTGGAAGTGACAACTGCTCCATTGTATGTTTTGGGAGACCAATAAAAAGAAACTTAGTGGTTGCTCAGAGGACCACAATTCAAGACCAATACGTACGTGGCTTTTTAGCTGGGGGAGGGATCTGTAAGGTCAGATAAGTGCTACTCTCAGAATCCAGTCTCCTTTTGTATTTCTGACGGCCTCCACGGACTCGATCCAGACGAACACCTGCAGGTAAAACAAGATAAACTCTCATGATTCATTAGTGCCACAGGGAACCTTGACATGCAGATGCTAAAATTTGCTAAGTAAGATGTTCCCCACACTCCAGGGAGCTTCCCTCTCCCAAACACTTGAGATCTCAGCTGAACCCAGCAATCCCAATAATACCAGCTAGACTGCCTCCAGCTCTAACCATGCTGCTGTAAGCTTTACTTTTATTCAGAACATTAATGAAAACAGAAATTAACCCATTCAAACTCTTGAATCACCATCAGTCTGATGGGCAAATGAAAAGCTTCAGACCTCAATGCCCTCTAGATGATCTTGCTTTGAAAAAGAAAGACTTTAAATGCCAACTAAAGGTGCAATTATAAAAATAAGCTTTTAGATTGTTCTTAAAAATGAGAAGTTAAATGATCTGTGACCTCTCACTGTTTATATTCAAAAAAAGTGACCTATAGCAAATAGATTATGAACTATGAATTCAACAAAGATGTTTCAGCCTTGATCAGGTAAGGCAGCTGTAATAAAAGTAGAACTCAAATAAATCGCAACAACTTCTACTACAACAAAGCAATGATAAAGTAGGGAAGCACTGAAGAATTTGTTGCAGCTCTTTCAAAATACCATGAATCAAACTGCAAATAGCACACTGAAAACAGTTCCCAGTGACTGAGAAGTACCAGTCACTGTCACCATGCAAAAAAACCCATAGGAGCTTCAATAGACCAGGAACAGCAAAAAAAAACGCTGTATTAGTACAAAAGACAATGTTAAAAACAAATCATGAACAAAGCCATAGATATTTGTCCAATTGTCCGTTATTTCTGGCCAGCCATGTGGTGTCTGGTAGCTCGTTCTTGTGAAACTGGGGTAACTCAGTCTTGCTGGGAGAAAAAGCTATTGCAAAAAGAAAAATAATCTTTCAAGGTAAATGTAGGAGTATTCAAATAGAATAAAAATTTTAATTTAGACTATACAATTACTTCCTTAGAAACACACATGAGTTTATCTAGTCTGATCACAGGAAACAAAGATGTGATCAACTTACTAATCACATAGAGCCATTAATATTTTGCAATCAATCCACTACATAAACACAAACAACTAAAAGCAAACACTCCAAATCAGTTTTGAAGTGATGCTTTTTGAACAACTTCTACACCTGAAAAAACCTGCAGTCTGCTGACAAATATGCTACCCTAGAAAGGTGCATGTCTGTCACTTACACTGTGCGTTTCAATGCCACATTGCTTACTATATCATGGAGAAGAGAAAGCTTTTATTGTAATGCTCACGCCAGCCCCACTTGTACCACATGAAACTGTCACTTGTCACAACATCACGGCTGGAGCACCCAAACCAGCTTGACTGACAGACCGTACCAACAACCCCTCAACAGCAAGAATAATCAACGCCAACCAGGCCAACAGCAGTCAGTTATACAGTCTGACAGCAAAACCTCTCTGGCAGTAGCAACACCCACACGGGGGTCTAGGTGGCATTACCTGTAAGCCATGGTATGTAGGGACAGAGGTTCATAGGCATTATATTATTAATGCTATATAGCTGCTTCCTTTTAAGAGTCCTGCTGCTCCCATTGAGCAGGAGAAGCAGGAACTCTCCAGAGCAAAGGAACTACTGTGGCAAGTGGCTGCTATGGAAGGATGGCAGATGTTGAAGACGGAGAGAAAGACATGAAGCTGAATAGGTGAACTCAGATCACACTGAGTAATTTCCTTCCCCTGGTCCATTTTCTATTCCTGACTCTTTGTGGAGAATTCACTGACAACCCTAAGCATAAGTACCACCTTTCTCCTCTGTTACGTGGTAATGTGTTGCCCATTGCTTCTTTTACATCCATTCCCAGCAGCAGATAGCCTGTGAGCAAGACTCCTTCCTGGGAGCCCCAACACGTTCCAGAGAGCGATTTCAGAAAAAGCAGCCAGGGAATCCCAAACCTGAGATTATCTAGGGAGATCCCTGAGGAACAGTACTAATGAAGTCCTGGACGAAGCAGGAAACTTTCATTTCTGTCCATGGTTTCTTTCCCTCTATAAATGTGCCCTGGTTTCCTAAGAAAGACGACCTCTATTCCATGCTGTGCTGTATGAATGACATTTACCTATAAGCCAGGAGAGGAGGGAGAGACACACATTTCAGGAACTGCCAGTAAACCAAGTAACCAGGTGTGAAAATTAAAAAGGTCAGGAATACACTGTTCAAAGATTATGGAGGAATTCAGAAGAGGCTGCAGGACTTCAGGCCTGAATCACAGCTCCCCAGGACCCTTGCAGAAGAAGTGTCATAGGGGGGTCCATTCCCTCCTGCCAGTGTGCAGGATGTCATTGGTGCAGGGAGATGCCATTCTCAGCCCAGGAGAAACCAACACACAGCCCTCCAGGATGCTTTCACCGTGCAGTTTGATAAGTGGGGCTAGACGGTGGGGGGAAGGGGGGCTGGAATGGGAGGAAATGGGGGAAGGAGCTCATTTCCTTCCCCCAAGGAGAAGCATGCCATCCTCCAGTGCTTGGCACAGGGAAGGCTGTACAGGTTGCAGCAGTATTAGGGACCCTCAATCAGATTATAAGGACACAAAGGACTTAAGTGCATTAAAAAAAGATAAGAGAGACGCAGAGAGATTTACCCTCCATCCCTCCTTCCCTCACTGAGCAGATAGAGGTCTGTTTGCCCAAGGACTTTGGCTTGTTAATTTTGAACAAGTGTTTGTCCTCCTTTTGTTCCCCATCCTGTGCAACACTCCTTGAGGCAAATGTTTTCAATCAGCATTTGCAGAGCCACTGTTCTACCCTGTCGTCGCTCCAGCCGCAGAGCCGGTGAATAGGCTGACCCTGCGTAGCGCATCCCAGCCCCAGTTGCTGAGTGCAGTAACCTGCAGGTGCTACAGCAAACAAAAGCATTTCAACCCCTGCGCCCCTGACTATGACATTCCAGACATAAGCGTCACGGCAAAATCCCTTCCCCAAAGATCTGACAGCCTAATGGGTCATATCTGAATAGAGGGAAAGGGCATGGCCAAATATCTGGACCTGGTACTGAGGTGTGGTATTCGAGTGGCTTGTTAATGCCTGCTGTTCTACTTTGATTTCCTTGGTGGCTGACTTTAAGATAGGCAGGCTGATTACAGCACAGCTCTGAGAGGGACACTAAAGGACATTAAAATGGAGGGGGGAGGTACAGTGGGTGAGCTCAGAGAAGGAGCATGAAGGAAAGCACTGAGCAGAGAAGAAATGGAGGGGGATGTAAACTGAAAAATGAATGGAAGTGAGAGAGTAAGGAGAAGGGAGATGACAGAGAGAGCTGGAGCAAGGTTGAGTGGTACATACACTGTAATCCCAAGGGCAGATTTCACACCAAATGTGCAGCCACCTGAGCTTTAACTGCAAGGTGCAGCGGCCACTTACGAGATGCAGCTGGTCTGTACTAAAGACTCTTACATAGGATTTGGTGCCACAGGCTGACAACAAGACAGCAGCAAGAGAAAGCAGTTCTCCTGCACATTTCTCACATGGATCGCAACTGGCCAGTTCCCAGGAAAGAAGGCACTCACCCTACAAAACTCTCATCACCATAGGCACTCCTTGACCCCCCTTCTTGACAGTTTCAGCAAGGAGGGGCTGCTAGAGCGGTAAAGAAGGGATGGTTTATGTACATAATGTGAGATGCAACAGTACAGGCCAAAGTTTGGGAAGTACCACCCCTTGATAATTTACCTTTCTGGCAGCTGCTTCTTCACAAATGATGGCTACCTATGCTGGAAACATCCCCTCTCCTCCCGCTCCCTTGTGTTGCAAGGAAGTGCTGCTGTTCACTGAATCTTGTTACTTTTTGAGGGACCCTGCATAAGAGTCCTGGCACCCCATCTGACCTAGGTGTGGAGCTGACCCCGGATTCTGCGACAGGGATTGCGTCCCCGCTCACCGGCAGCACGCACGCAGCTGCCCAGCCTGCCTGAGCCCCCTCTGACCGAGCAGGGAGAGTAGGGCCTCTCTCTGTGCAGGACTTTTCGGCTCAGCATCCTGCCTGGGGTAGGGATGTCAGTTTTCTAAGCGTCCTGTGGGTGCCACTCGTGTTCCAAGCACTCTTGCAGAGAGGTCTGTGCCAGCACCAAGCCTCTGCAGTGGGAGAGCGGATCTGCTGATCTGTTCAAGCTCCCTGCATTTCTCTGACATGCCCCTTGGAGAGACGTCTGCCCGACAACTTTGGGATCAGATGTCCCCTTGCTGACTTGATAACATCAGGCTTTGGGTTTTTTTTCTTAATGGAAGTAAAATAATTCCAGCTTTTTTTAAAAGCTGGATGAAGGCCGAGTCTGTCGGAAGTAAAAATAGCCGAGTATGCAGAGGCAACAGCACACAGAGCCAGGTTTAGTTTCTCTTTTATTTTCTGGGGACTAAAAATACTCTTAAAAGCTCTGTGAAGCTAAGCCCTGGCCAGTGGGAAATACAGTCTAGGCCCAATATCAGCTGTCGCGTCAAATTACTAGCCTCACCTCACTTTCCATCCAGTCCTGTCACATGCCCATGAATTGATAGGAACAGAAAGATCTATCTTGCCAAAAGAGCTAACGGAGGAGCCAAGCTACAGGGTTTGCACAGTACAGTGTGTGTCTAGACCAAGAAGGACACAACCAAAGGGAACACAAGGCAAGTGCTGGCCAGGGAGCAATGCACACAGGGCTGCTTTTGCCGAGCTTTCCAGAGACACCAGCCAGGTCCTGTGCCCACTGCCCACCTAACCCTTGAGATGCAGTTTCTGCATCAATGCAGCCTGCTTGCTCTCCCAGGGCCTGCACTGGGGTGGTGCTCTGTAGCTAACAGAGATGCCCCTCTCCCCAGGAGCTGCAGTCTAAGGTACATGGGTTGTCACTGCCCAAGGAAGCTGGAAGGCATAGGCTAAGAGCAGAGAAGAAAGGAAGGGAGAAGTGTTGTGCCCAAGGTGTCTCCTACAGAATTTCCGTCTCCCTTTTTGCTCTGAACTTCAGG